AGGCCAGATATTTCTGCATGACCTTGAGGAGACTCACTACAGCAGCAATAAGGAAGACAGTGATGTTGTCTGCGAAGAGATTTAAGGGGTGGGTGTTACAATTAAAATAATAATTTATTATTTATACCCCGCCCATCTGGCTGGGTTTCCCCGGCCACTCCGGGCGGCTCCCAACAGTTAAAAAACAGTTAAAAACACAATAAAACACCAAGCATTAAAAACTTCCATAAACAGGGCTGCCTTCAGATATCTTATAAAAGTCAGATAGTTGTTTATTTCCTTGACATCTGGTTGGAGGGCATTCCACAAGGCAGGCGCCACCACCGAGAAGGCCCTCTGCCTGGTTCTCTGTAACTTTGCTTCTCGCAGTGAGGAAACTGCTAAAAGGCCCTTGGAGCTGGACCTCCGTGTCTGTGTCAGTGGTACCTCGGGTTAAGTACTTAATTTGTTCTGGAGGTCCGTTCTTAACCTGAAACTGTTCTTAACCTGAAGCACCACTTTAGCTAATGGGGCCTCCTGCTGCTGCCGTGCCGCCACTGCACAATTTCTGTTCTCATCCTGAAGCAAAGTTCTTAACCCGAGGTACTATTTCTGGGTTAGCGGAGTCTGTAACCTGAAGCGTCTGTAACCTGAAGCGTCTGTAACCCGAGGTACCACTGTACTGGGCTGAGGTCATTTAGGGCTTTAAAGGTCAGCACCAACACCTGAAACCAGTTTAAATTTAAAACGATGAGGGCGAATTTAGAATTTCCGATCAGGCAATGTTTTGAGAATTCCTGGCATGCCACAATGCTGGCCCAGCAGCCTGAAATGGCGGCTTGCACCTCCCAAGCCTAAATGTTCAGGTGAGTATGAGGGGAGGCAGAAACACCGCATTTCCATGTGGCTGCCCACGACAAATGCAAACAGCACCAGCCTGAGGAATCTCCAGAGCGGAGGGCAGCTAGTGGCGCGTCCACAGGCTGAACAGTGACTCCTGGTAGCTGCTGCTTGTGCGCCAGGCAAGAGATCATTAAGGCAAGCCACAGCTGGCAGCTCTCCAGTGCCCTGCCATGTGGCACCTTGGCTGATGCGCTCCGCCCGGAGCAGCGCCACCCATCCGGCGTCAACAGGAAGAGGCAGAACCTGCACATGGTGACACTAATCATCTCCATAGCCAGTAACTGCCTTCTTCCTCCCCGCCTCCTCTCCGACATTGTCATATACCACCCTATCATGAACCTAGACAACATCTTAAAAAGCAGGGACATCACCTTGCCAACAAAGGTCCGTATAGTTAAAGCCATGGTTTTCCCAGTAGTGATGTATGGAAGTGAGAGCTGGACCATCAAGAAGGCTGATCGCCAAAGAATGGATGCTTTTGAATTCTGGTGCTGGAGGAGAATCTTGAGAGTCCCATGGACTGCAAGAAGATCAAACCTCTCCATTCTGAAGGAAATCAGCCCTGAGTGCTCACTGGAAGGACAGATCCTGAAGCTGAGGCTCCAAGACTTTGGCCACCTCATGAGAAGAGAAGACTCCCTGGAAAAGACCCTGATGTTGTGAAAGATGGAGGGCACAAGGAGAAGGGGACGACAGAGGACGAGATGGTTGGACAGTGTTGTCAAAGTTACCAACATGAGTTTGACCAAACTGCAGGAGGCAGTGGAAGACAGGAGGGCCTGGCATGCTCTGGTCCAGGGGGTCACGAAGAGGCGGACACGACTAAACGACTAAACAAAAACAACAACAACATCATGAAGTTTAGCTAGTAGTACAGTGGTACCTCGGGTTAAGAATTTAATTTGTTCTGGAGGTCCGTTCTTAACCTGAAACTGTTCTTAACCTGAAGCACCACTTTAGCTAATGGGGCCTCCCGCTGCTGCTGAGCAATTTCTGTTCTCATCCTGAAGCAAAGTTCTTAATCCAAGGTACTATTTCTGGGTTAGCGGAGTCTGTGACCTGAAGCGTCTGTAACCTGAAGCGTATGTAATCCAAGGTACCACTGTATATTACATTGTTGGAAAGCAGGTACAGTGGTACCTGGGTTCTTGAACGTAATCCATTCCAGGAGTCCATTAGACTCCCGAAATGGTTCAAAAACCAAGGTGCGGCTTCCGATTGGCTGGAGGAGCTTACTCCACTCAATCAGAAGCTGTGGAAGCCACGGCAAATGTTCGGCTTCTGAAAAATGTTCGCAAATTCGAACACTCACTTCCGGGTTTGCAGCGTTTGGGAGCCAAAACGTCCAAGTACCAAGGCATTCGAGAACCAAAGTACGACTATCACCCAGTCCTAGTGCCTGGTGAATTTCGAACACTCTTATTAACCCATACCTTACTCTTGAGGCAAATATATTAAAGCTATCCCAAGAGACACAGCACGGCTTGTAGGCCATTAATTTTGCTCCAGAGCAAAGTTACTACTACTATTCCAAATGCTTATTGTCCTTCAGCTGGGAACTATTAGCAACCTCAAGTGGCATTCTGCTATGTTCTCTTCCAGATCTGTCCTGTAGTAGACGATTTTTGGGTCTGACCCCATTTGCCTTTTCCCCCTCTTCAATGGGTGGGTAAATGCTTGAGTTACGAGTCTCTAGCTGATGAGTCTGAATATACATGACTGTACTTTAGAGCTTAACAGTAGAGAATGAATTTTGTAGTGTGTTTCAGGTGGTGAGCAGAAGCATGGAAGTATGCGCAGTGGTCAGTCAGTTTCCTATACAGTGGGACCTCGGGTTAGGTGCTTAATTCATTCCGGAGGTCTGCTCTTAACCTGAAACTGTTCTTAACCTGAAGCACCACTTTAGCTGATGCGGCCTCCCGCTGCTGCCGTGCCACCAGAGCACGATTTCTGTTCTCATCCTGAAGCAAAGTTCTTAACCTGAAGCACTATTTCTGGGTTAGCGGAGTCTGTAACCTGAAGCGTATGTAACCTGAAGCGTATGTAACCCGAGGTACCACTGTATAAGATGATGCTTATATGTGGGTCCATTATGTAGTTGCACACAAGTGTCTGGAATGCTAGTATATTGTGTGGAGTGGTCCAAGCTCACTTTGCATTTTGGCTAATATTCTTGCAGTCCTGTTGTTCAAGTGTCTCCTCTTCATGAGTTCAGAGGATAAAGATGTTATCATATTTCAGATACAGGAGAGGCTTTTGAGGACAGGAGACAAGAAAGCATTGTTCTAGGTCAACCATGAAGACACTGGCATACTGTGGAGTCAGGCCCGTGCCTGTAGGAGGGTCACTGACTGGAAGATACAAGTTGTCCCAAAACTGAAGTAATTGAGGATAAGTACGAAGTGACCGTGTTTGGTGGCTAGATGTACTATAGCCCCATCAGGGATTATATTTCTGATGGCTTGTAGCCAATTTTAAAGAGATATACATTGACAGGGCAGATCAGCATCACGCCAGCCAATCTCTTCAGTTCATTTAATTTCATTCTGGCCAATAACAGAAAGACTATTTCAGATTAATCTTATGGAGTTTTAAAATGAAAATGATATGCAAGGGAAATGATATTCATCATAAGGACATAAACTGCTGCCTTATACCAGGTTGGACAATTGAACTAACTCAGGATTGTCTATTCTGACTAGCAGCTCTCTGGAGGTGCTGAGGCTTGAACCTGAGCCATTGGGCATGCATGGATGAGTCAAGGCCTTCTCTTCCCTTTAGCCAAGCATGTGCAGAAAGGATCAGAATTACAGGTGCAGATCTAGGAGCAGGAAGCTGGAGGTAGTTTTTAAAAGCAAAATACAACAGTCCCTGAGCAAATTGAACCTAAAGACAAACTGTGGAGCCATTTGTAGAATTACATTGTCTCCTGGAGCACAGCAGTTTCTGGAATACTGCATCAATAGTAATTTGCTTTAGTACATGAGGGGGAAAGCAGTCTTGGACAATCAATCAAACAGCACACACTTACAGGAATGGCAAAAAAACAACAACCAGAAGTGAACACCACATGCTTAGTCATCAAAAGAAAATCAATGTATACAAAGGAACATTTAAGGGCCATTCTCTAGAATCTGTCCTACCCCAGAAAATTATGGCGTTCAACTGCACAGTGTAAATTCTAGGAGCTCAATACAACTACAAGCCAGAGAGAAAGGAAGGCGGGGAAAATATTAACAAAATGTCATCTTCTAAATTGCCACATTTTCAAGTTCAGTGAAGAGTCTACAATTCACAGGAACCCAACAGAGAACATAAGCCTGCAATACTCTTAACAGTACAATTCATTCCTGGTTTTATTATACGCTGCTCATAGCTTTAAGTCAAAGGGGAATCTCTGGTGAACAACTGCTGAACCAGCATCAAGCCTTTCCTGGATATTAGTGTTCAGTTTCTCCATCTTGGCCTTGATAGAGCTGGCCTTTGTAGAGTGAGGTGGCTGTGAAAGTGCAAGCTGGGTAACTGTAGGGGAGCCTGAAGAGTTGTTAGTTGTAGTAGATTCCTGCTAAACTATCACTTTCAAAACCTGTCTATAAATACAATTATAGAGGGCAGGCAGTAAACAGAGGCACACTTATTTGATACATATGTCAATGGAAGCTTTGCAAACCACAGGTGAAAGTGATCTTCATTACATTTATCCCCTACTGATACAGGTTGTTAGGAATGAAGCCTATCTCTAAAGGCACGAATTGCTGTTATCACTACTGCTAGTTTCTTTCAGTGGTTGGCTAATGGCCAACCAGTTAGTGCTCCCAAATAGCTCTGTGCATACTACTGGCAATCTGTAAAGATTACGGTAAATTTTGGACTCAGCTATCTTAGTAAAGAAAAAGTGTTTTATTTGCATTACCACACTGTGACACCAGGTAGCGCTGTGGAGTTCCATCTTTCACCAACACTTGAAGCTTTACAACATGTTTTCCTGAAACAATTTTTGATGTGTCTAGATCCAGCTTTTGTTTGATTTTATTATTTGCATTTAAAATGTCAGTTACACTAATATACAAGCAATGGTACACAATGAGTAAAGTTATATAACTGAGTTCATCACTTACGGAAATGGATTGTGGAGGAAAAGTCACTGAATAACTACAGCTATCCATCTGAGATCTGCGCAAGAACAAGCCTGCTTTCACACGCTGCTCACAGAATCTGAAGATGTCAAAGCCCTTTCCTGTAAGAGAAGCATTTAAGAGAAGTACTTACTTTTTATGCAGTCTTCAGTAATATAGAAGCAGAGTTATATTTCCCAGCACAGTAAGAATGCTCAGACAATCCTGTTTTTAAGGTCTACTAAGGCTATGTTATTGGTATGAAAAACAATGTTTAATGCAAATCCTAATACTCTTTCTATTTCAACCAGTGTGTTCTCTCTACACACTGAGCTGAACTCAACCCCACAACATTCTCTTTTCTGCCACTTATAGCTTAATACAGGCATCCCCAACCTTCAGTCCTCCAGATGCTTTGGACTACAATTCCCATCATCCCTGACCACTGGTCCTGTTAGCTAGGGATCATGGGAGTTGTAGGCCAAAACATCTGAAGGGCCGCAGGTTGGGAATGCCTGGCTTAATAAGACAAAAAGCAGTCCTAACAACAGAATTTAAAAATCAGTTTTCTGCTAGTTATACACACAAAAAGGGGAACACCATGCACAAGAAACACAATCAACCCCTCTTCCTTTCCATCTGGCAATTTGCATCACATTCCCACTTAGTCTCTATTAATGTATTAATGTATGTATTTCTAAGAAGAATATCCTATCTCTCCAGCACACTGGTCATCTATGCAACTGTTAATCAATGAAAATGCACAACAATAGTGTAGTTCAATAGCTTATAGTATTAAAATTCCAGTATTCAGAATAGGGCTGGCTGATATCTGTTTTCCAACATCATAATAGACCACCAGCTAAACTTCGCGATATGGCGGTATATTAAGATGTCGGAAAGGAAGCGGGGAGGAAGAAGGCAGTTGCTGGCCAAAGAAACCATTAGCATCACCATGCGCAGCTCCTGCCTATTCCTGTCAAGGCCAGCCAGGCAAATCCGCAGCCTCCTCCAGCGCCCAGCGCACGGAAGGAGCCCAGCCCCGCAAGGCACAGGGCAAAGACTCCTCCTCCTCCAGCGTCTGCCTGTCCGGGCTAAGGGACTGAAGCAGCTGACACAGGCGGCCGGTTTCTTTAAACTGCTCTGCTGAGGGGTGTGGGCAGCCGCACGCCCCTCAGTGGAGCAGTTTAACGAAGCCCCCACGAGCCAATGGGGGGGGGGCTTGATTGGCTGAGAAGCAGGTGGTTCAAGGAAGACGACTTCTCAGCTGACCAAGCCCCCTGCCTCCAGCTCCTCGGACAAGTCGGAGTGGGGGCTTTGCTAAAGTCGCACGCCCCTCAGTGGGAAAGTTTAAAGAAGGGAGGAACAAGCTGCATGGGCTCCAGTGCCTCACCATGGCAGCGTGCTCCTCCCTCTGCGGTATGAGGGCCAGAGCGCTGTGGCGATGGCAGAGGGACTCAGGAGAGGGGGCTGCTTCAGCCGCAATATAGCGCTGGGTGAAGCAGCCCCCAGGCTTCGGCCCTCATACCGGTCCAGGGCGATGTATTGATATATCACCCAGGTCTACCAAAGAATATAACAAGTACTGTAGCAGAAATTCTTAAAACTGCTGCAATTCCTTCAAAAACCCCAAAGGCCTTTTAAATAAGGTTGCTTTACCACTTTTCTAAAATCAAGAATGAGCAAGTGACCTCCAAGTAACACACTACGGAAAAGACCTGAGACATAAATAATATTCAACGTCTGAAAACAGGCATAAAGAGCAAAATTTCATCTGAAGAGCTAATGGCATGAGAGGCGCATGTGAGAGGTTTTGGGTACTGCCCCCACTTCCAAGAGTCACACTAACAAGGCACAGTAGCCTAGCGCAGAAGGCTTTATCACAAAGTGAGGAAGAAGTTGAAAAGCAGCTTAGAAAGATCAATGGACGTGTCTCCCATACATCCTAAACTCCAGTTCTGTCCAAGTGATTCTGTCGCTCTTGCTATAGTTTGTTGTAGCTTTCTCCAAAATCTTTTTTATTGCCAAATTGTCAACTTACTTTTTGTTTTTTGCCAAAATTCATGCTCTTTCATATTTTCCTCATATGACTTCCTAATTTTAAAGGAAGCCCTCTTGCCTTTTACAGCTTCCTTCATTCTGTTCGTTAACCAAACTGGCATCCTCTTATAATCGTTCAAACTTTTTCCAGTCTATGATATACAATTCATTTAAGCTTTTATTACAGTGGTTTTAAAATGCTTTCAAGGATCCTAAAAGAATTGATGCTCATCACTCTCAATTTTCATATTCCCTCATTTTTAAAATCATTTCCTCTGGCATAAAGGGCAACAATCCCACAAAAAGGACCTCCTACTTTTTACACATTTTATATCAAATAATAACTTTAACCACCCCACCCCCAGTTAAACTATGGAATTTCCTACCACAAAATGTGATGGCAATAAGTAGCTTATATTAAAAGGGAACTACATTAACCTATGGAGGATAAGGCTATCAATGGTACTATGCAGGTTGGCTAGATGTTATTTTTAGGATCAGAAGCAGCATACTAGTTGTTGGGGAGCAGGGACAGAGGGACAGAATGATGGGCTAGACTGGTCTCATCCAGCAGAACTCCTTTTCTGTTCTTAGGGTGACATTATGTCAACAAACATGCAGTTTTAATATATCATTTGTTTTAAAAATACCATATTTTTCGCTCTATAAGACGCACCAGACCACAAGACGTACCTAGTTTTTAGAGGAGGAAAACAAGAAAAAAAATATTCTGAATCTCAGAAGCCAGAACAGCAAGAGGGATCGTTGCGCAGTGAAAGCAGCAATCTCTCTTGCTATTCTGGCTTCTGTGATAGCTGCGCAGCCTGCATTCACTCCATAAGACGCACACACATTTCCCCTTACTTTTTAGGAGGGAAAAAGTGAGTCTTATAGAGCAAAAAATATGGTAGTTTTATTTTGGAAGTTTTCCATAAAAAGTGGCACACATTGGAATATAAGACAATTGCTAGCTGGGCTAATCAATTTCACCAATCTCACCAATCCACTGACATTAATGAGACTGAATGGCTGCGGCAAGAACAGGAACGGCTGCAGATCTACATCTGTGATTGTCCAGTTCATATATAACATTTCATTTCCCATGCATCTGTGTGCATGCCCAAGGTCAGCTGGCACTGTACACAAGCACAAAATTATGTGAACCAGCCATTCATCACTGTGAGAAATGCTCAGAAGAAACCTGCCCTCTTTGATCAAGGGAAATGGAAGGAAGGAGGGGAAGGGGGAAGGACAAAGTCCTGAATACAGATCAGGGTGAAGTCTAATGTTTTTATAAGATATTTCAACTACATTTGAAGGATCTCTGGTGCTTCCATTTGTATTTAGAAAGCAATATATTCAATGACCTAATTTAACTAAGCAAAGATTGAGAGGAGACCAAAACTGTTAAATATGGATGCACCATATCATTGCATCCCTAATTCACAGCACCAATAGAAAGAGATCACAGTTGTATTTTATCACCACACTCTCAAAATCAAAATTTATGATGAATGTGAAAGTGTGAATCTCAAGAACTTCCAGACTCACCAACAGTGTGAAAACCTACCCACTACTATTAAAGGGCATTTGTACTGAAAACGGTTTTTCTCCCAGACATACTACATTCACCCAGAAGAAGCAACTTTTTGACTAACTCCCATAGCCCTCGTTTACAAAAGATGTTCAATGTCCAACATGCACATGGTTCACAACTTCCTTTGCACTCACAGATTTGAAAATACGATAGGTTAGGTGGGTCACAGTAACAATTTTTTCAGTACAGTGGTACCTTGGTTGTCGAACTTAATCCGTTCTAGGAGTCTGTTCGACTCCCGGAACTGTTTGCAGGAGCTTCCTGCACTCAATCAGAAGTTGCGTCAGACATGCAGCTTCCAAAAAACATTCACAAACCAGAACATTCACTTCCGGGTGTGCGGCATTCGGGAGCCAAAATGTCTGAGTACCAAGGCGTTCGACAACCAAGATACGACTGTATTAATTTTTTTCAGGATTAAATTTAACCAAGTTTCAAAAGATTTTACATTTCCACTTCACATCAATTAAGAGATTGGTGCCACTGGACAAAATCACTACACAAATCTGCAGGCAATCAAATCCTCTAAATGCTCTCCTTGGTTCCCCCTTCTAAAAACGGTCCATTTTAGAGCCAATTACTTGTCAAATCTCTGGCCAGCCTCACTTTTACTGAGGCTGTGTTTTCAAAGCTATGCCCTCTACCGTCCTGGACGGACAATACAACAGGGTACCGAATGAAGACATAGTTTATGTGAGCAACAGCACAGGGAAGACATCTTGCACTACTTACTACACACTAGACCCAGGAGCCGATTTCTCACCTTACCATCCATACAGGAAAGATGTCTCCCTGGCAGAGGAGGTCCTATCCGGAGCCATCTTTCCTATTGGGCTTAGTGGTGCATTGTGCCAGGGCGCTGGCCTCTCAGGTGCGCCCCAGCGAGTGGGGGAGCTGCGTGGCTTTGCCGGTGGCTTCCCCTTTCCCTGCACACCCGCCAGCTGTGCCCCGTCAACTATATGGCTGGCGGGTGTGCAGCTTGCCTCCCAAGCCTCCACAGGAGGAGAGTGATCCCTGCAGAGGCTTAGGATAGAAGCTGTGCCCACCCCTCCAACTATATGGCTGGCGGCAGCAGGAGCAGCAGCAGCAGCTAGATGCACGCTCGTGGGTGCGTGCACTCTCCCATCCATCCGCACCCACAGGAGCTTCTGTGCACTCGCCATGGTGGACAGCATCTACCAGACCCACTCGCTGGGTGTGGCGGCTGAGGGGCTGCCAGACCAGTATGCCGACGACCGTGCGGCGTGGGTCTGGCAGCTCTACATCGGCGACATGCGGAGCCGCACCACCAAGTACAAGAACTGGCTGGTGTCACTGCTGTGCGCCCAGCGCTCCAACACAGTGCTCGATATGGCCTGCGGCACCAGGTGAGCCACACAGCAGGAGGAGGAGGCAGTGCTGGGTGCTGGATCATGATCCAGTTTGAAGGCCTGGGCTCCCTTCTCCCCAGGGAGGTTTGTGTCTCAGGGTGCTCTAATCCGGATC